TTTATAACTAATTAAACATGAATAACTAGGGTTGGAATTTCTCATTTGTAGCACACAATTAGGGTTTGGTCTTGTTAGGTTATCATATAATTTTTTTTGTCTCCCTAAGTTTGTTGATGGATGGTCCTAACTAATTTGGAATATAAAGGCAATAATGTGAAGTTTTATTTTTTAAATTTTTTTTTATAAGAAATGTCCAATCAAGATGGTCACTATTTTTCATGTAAAAGATGAGCTGTCCATTTAGAATAATTTTAAATTTTTCAAAAAGACATAATTTGGAGCGAGTCCATGATGGTCGGTTTGACAAAATTTCAATAATTTTTCTAGACTTTTTAGATAGGTACCGACTTTGTTTAGTTTGATTTCTTATCAGTTTTTAGACTTTTTTTTTTGGCCTACCAAATTCAATAATTAAAAAATACTATTTAATGTAAACTATATAGTGCTTACTCACTTCTCATTGTATTAATTGCTTGAACTAATACTGATTTTTTAGATAGTATAAATGCATGGGACATGTTGTTAAAATATAAAATGAAGGGAGGAATCGATCGATGCAAATTTTGAATTTAAATTTTATAAATTTATATTAATAATTTCAAGTTAATGATAACAAGGTTCGTAATTAGATATTTAGGCGTAAAAAAAAAGTTAGTTAGTTTATGTGACTTTGTATATATAAATCCGTCCTAAATATCAAAGAGATATTGAAAAAACATTTTCAGAATTTAAAAAAAAAGATATTTTAAAAATTGTATTTCTTTCTTAAATTACGTATAACTATTCCAAAAATTATCTTGTAGTTTGTTTGAACGGTAATAAATATATATGTATGTTGAATTGAAGTTTCTTTTAGCTAATAAAGAAAATAAACGAACCCCTCAAAAATTAAATAAGCTATATTTTAATGTAAACCAAAAATAAATAAAATGAAGCTATTAAATGATATTGCTCAATTCCATTATAATTTGAGCTTCATTCAACCTTGTCATTGGAAATTACAAGTTAGACTTAATCTTAATTAAGGTCATTATCTATTAATTAGTATTATTAAAGCCTAACCACATTCTGTAAAATATGAACCCTATGACTAGGGTAAGCTGAATTCAACTTTATACACTGAGCCATTAATTAAGTCCAAAATTGGTGAATGTGATGTTAGAATTTATCCTCAATTTGTTTATCTTATCTCAATTTATCATGATTTCGTTATACTTAAAAATATTTTTTAAAATATATATCTTTTTTCTTGAAAGAGAGTTTTGGACTCTATAACTAGAAGATCTTTTGTTTTTATAAATAACACAATAATATTTACGATTTTATTGTGTTTGTGCACTTTGTAAGATAAAGGAGTAATCAATTTCTAAACTAGTGTTTATATTTTTATTCTATTTTTTCTGTAGCACATATTCTCCTAATGTTGCAACTAGCATATGTTGGGGATAAAATGAGAAAAAATTGTCTGATATAATTTGATTATATTCTGCATTGATCTATCGAAGCACTAATTTATCCACGAAACTATGGTGAGTGAAGATATTAAAAGGGGACGAAGTAGACCTAAAATTGTATCGAAAAAATTGCTTTTAGAGACCTACAAATTCATGGAGTCAATACTGACTTAGTTTTATAACCTTAAAATTAGACTTCCTGCATAAATCTCAATTAGTTATGATGAAATCGTCAATACAAGATGATGAAGCCAGCAATTCAAGCTGGAAGCTGGAAGCTAATCTCATTCCTCCATTAATAGAGGTTGAGCTTCTGATAGTGTGAAGGAAGAAGAGGGAATTTTCTGTATTGGAATGCATACGTCAAACAGTACATTAGATGTGTATATATACACATCAATGAGTAGTAACTAATCAAAAACAGAAATACAAAACATGTGATCTATAACTAACTACCCATGTGAAATATAACTAACTATAACTAACTACTTGAAAGTTGAGTAATGACTAACTAACTAACTAACAAATTGATAACTAACTCACACTAAACAAGCTAGTTTTATCACCCCCCCCCCTCAAGTTGGAAGTGAGCCATTCACAGACAACTTGTTCATCAGATGAGAATGTTTAACACCAGTCAATGCCTTAGTGAAAACATCAGCTAGCTGAGATTCTGTTGAGACATATTGGAGTGTAATCAGTCCTTCTTGGAGCTTTGTCCTGACAAAATGGCAATCAACTTCTATGTGTTTGGTTCGTTCATGAAATACTGGATTCTTGGCAATGTGTACTGCTGCTTGGCTGTCACAAAATACTTGTATAGGCAAAGGTATTGTTACTGAGAGTTCACCAAGTAGTCTTTCTAGCCACACTACTTCTCCTACTACCTGTCTTATGGCCCTGTATTCTGCTTCTGCTGAAGATAATGACACTGTAGGCTGTTTCTTGGACTTCCAACTAATAGGGCTATCTCCCATGAGGACCAAATAACCACTCACTGACTTCCTTGAATCAAGACAAGAGGCCCAATCTAAGTCACAGTAGGCACTGATGGTGATATCACGTTTATTACTGATAAAAACTCCTTAATGTAGGATCATTTTGTAGGTATCTGAGTACATGGTAAGCTGCCTTTAAATGAGGTTCTCTAGGAGACTGCATGAATTGACTGAGATGTTGGACACTATATGCTATATCCATTCTTGTATTAGCAAGAAAATTAAGCTTGCCTACTAATTTTCTGTAGTAAGTAGGATCTGGTAGTAACTTCCCTTCTGTAAGTCTTAGTTTCTCAGTAGGATCTAATGGTGAAGTAGTAGCCTTGTAGTTTATAGACTCAAATTCCTTCAAGAGATCAAGAGTAAACTTCCTTTGTGAAACAAGGACACCATCCTGCTTGTACAGTATCTCCAATCCAAGAAAGTAATGCAGCCTTCCTAAATCTTTTATTCTAAATTTCTCATGCAAGAAGAGTTTCAAAGATTCAATCTCCTTCATATCAGTACCAGTCAAGATAATGTCATCAACATATACAGCCACAAATACTAAGGAGTGACCATTTTTCTTGTAAAATAGTGAGTAATCACTGTCTGAATGAGTATAACCCTTTGAGCAAAGACTATCAGCTAGTTTCTCATACCACTGTCTACTAGCTTGTTTCAGACCATATAAGGACTTCTTCAATTTGCATACCATATCATTGTTGTCCACTACCAGTCCTGGAGGTAAAGCCATGTATACTTCTTCATTCAAATCACCATGTAGGAAGGCATTATTTACATCCAATTGATACAAGTCCCAGCCCTTCTTAACTGCTAATGAGATTAGTGTTCTGACTGTAGTCATCTTTACCACAGGTGAGAAGGTTTCATTATAGTCTATTCCTGCTTGTTGAGTGTATCCTTTTACCACCAGTCTAGCTTTGAACCTCTCTATGCTCCCATCTACCTTATGTTTAATCTTATACACCCATTTACATCCAATAACATTCTTTCTTTTGGCAACTTAACTAGCTCCCAAGTATTATTAGTGTGCAGTGCATCAAACTCTTGTTTCATTGCTGCTTGCCAGGCTGGATTCAAGCTTGCCTCTTCATAAGATGTAGGCTCAATATCATGTGAAACATTATGGATCAACTGTTGACTTTCAGAACATAGTGTAGAGAAGCATATATGATCAGGATGATTTGTGAAAGATGTGAGTGAATGTTGAGAATCAGTGACATTATTTATAGGTGAAGAGGAGTGTAGTTTAGGTAATGAATAGCTATAGTCTTTTAAGTAGTTTGGAGGATGACAAGATCTAGTTGTCCTTCTAGGTGTAAGAACAGATACATTTGGTCCAGTAGGTGCTGTGACAGGTATATTTGGCTCAGTAGAAGGTGTTGTAGATTCTGTTACAGGTATATTTTCAGGTATGGAAACTTGATCATAAATGACTTCATCCAGTGTGTGTTGACTCAACATCTCATCATCAATAAAGGTATTTGTTTTACTAGACATACAAGGCAACTTATCAGAGTGATGAACAAGACATTGCAATATGAAGTCAAAATTAGAACCAGCAGGAGTAATGACAAAAGGAAGAATATTTTCATAGAAAGAGACATCTCTAGACACATGAATCCTCTTGGTAGCCAAGTTTAAGACCTTGTACCCTTTTGTGTTAAAGGGATATCCAACAAAAATATGAGGTACAGTTCTAGGCTCAAACTTATCCTTATGAGTTTTTAAAGTAGTTGGAAAACAAAGACATCCAAAATTTTTAAGATGTGAGTAGAAAGGTTTCTTCTGATACAACATTTCATATGGAGACTTCCCTTGAAGTAGTTTAGTGGGCAATCTATTAACCAAATAAGTGGCAGTTAATACACACTCTCCCCAATACCTCATAGGTATTTTTGATTGAAATAACAGTGTCCTTGCTGTCTCAAGAAGGTACTTGTGTTTCCTCTCTACTACCCCATTTTGTTGTGGTGTGTAGGGACAAGATTTCTGGTGTATTATGCCTTTTTCTTGGAAGAAACATGTTGCCTCAGTACTAGAAAATTCTAATCCATTATCAGACCTGATAGTTTTCAATCTAGTGTGGAACTGATTTTCTATTAGGGATATGAAGGCTTTTATAGTACAAAGAGCATTGCTTTTACACCTAATAAGTTGTGTCCAAGTAGCTCTACTGTAATCATCTACCATAGTCAAGAAATAGTGATATCCATCATGTGTTGGTACATTATAGGGTCCCCACAAATCAACATGCAGTAACTCAAATATTGAACTGATCATAGTAACACTTTCTGGAAATGGCATTCTAGTTTGTCTAGCCATTGGACAAATTGTACAAGTGAAAGGTTGTTTGTTGGAAAACTTTAGAGGTATGGTAGATATGCTCTTCATTTTCACAAATGGTACATGTCCTAGCCTAGCATGCCATAAGAATTCATTGTCTTGATTGAAAGAAAAATGAGCAGCTGATTAGAAATCTTATCAGTGGAACAACTTTCATTGATTGTATGAGAATGTTTTGTATTAGGTAGTAATGGTGCTTTACAGTAGTTCATAAAGGAAACAGATTGAAACTTCTGTTGGGAACCAGTATCATCATTTACAGATGGAATGTGACACTTTGAACAAAAAAGATACAAACCACTCCTTGCTTTACCAAGTGCCAGAGGGCTCTTCAGAGAAGGGCCCTGCAATAAACAAGAACTATTGTTAAAACTGACTATCCCTCTGAGTTGGTTAGCTAAACAATAGACTGATATTAGATTGAACTTGAAGCTAGGTATATACAATACTTTATACAGAGTTAATGTTGAATTCAAACACACATCACCAATTTCAGTCACTTTAACCTTGTATCCATTTGGTAAAGTGATTAAGAAGGGATAAGGTAGAGGCTTAAGGTTTATGGGATTGTGTTTTGTGTAGGTCATTATGGTGAGATGCTCCTGAGTCAATGATCCAAGATCCAGCAGTTAATCTTTCACATTTACATGACATATCACTTATCTTACTTATAGAAGAATGACAAGCAAGTATACCTGCTAGACTTGCAGCTCCACTTGACACATTGTTTGAATATTCAGACTCATTTCCAAGCAAATTGAGCAATTGCTCATATTGACTCTTTGATAGATTCACTGGCATTTGTTTTCCCTGCTCAAAACTCTCTTCACATTTGTAACTATCACCCTCAGAGGTATGTACATTTGCTGCGGATCCTCTTCCTCTTCCTCTTGGATTTCTTGTGTTGGTTGGATAGCCATGAAGTTTGTAACATCTATCTTTGACATGTCCAGTTCGTTTACAATACTCACAAAACATATTTGATCTGTTACCAGCATTAGAGTTTCCCCTATAGGCATTAGTGTTGTTGAAATTTCCAGCATTGTTATTGTTAAAACTGCCAGTGTTGTTGTAACTTCCATTTCCCCTACCTATGCCTCCTTTATAAGAACTAGAATTTGTTGAATTACTTTGAGACAACATAGATGCATTAAGTGAAGTGGACTCCAAAGCCATATGATTTGAAGGCTTCATTTCTCTCTGCCTCTCTTCCTGTGACAAGATAGCAAATGCCTGTGCCATTGTAGGCAAAGTAGACATCATGAGGATGTTCCCTCGCACAACAGTGTACATCTCATTTAGGCCCATCAAGAAGTGTATAAGTCTTCTGTCCTGCTCGGCTTTATACAGTTTTATCTTTCCTCCATAAGTACACACACAACTACATTGTGAATTCACATCAATTGCACTCATTTCCTCCCACAATTTCTTCATCTTTGTATAATAACCTGTGATGTCTAGACTGCCTTGTATCAAATCATTTATCTCCTTCTGCAACTGATATAGCTTACAGCCATTAGTCTGATCATATCTATCCTCCAATTCCTCCCACAATTCCTTAGCATTGTTCACATATTGCAGACTATCTCGTAGCTCTGGGGAGAGGGAGTTTAGAACCCAAGATGTCACTATATCATCACACCTCTCCCACTGCATGAATGATGGATCTGTAAAGCTTGGTTTCACGATTTTACCATTGATGAATCCAGTTTTATTCTTAACGGACAATGCTCTAAGGGTTGCTCTTCTCCATGATCTGTAACTAGTCCCATCAAACACCATAGGAACCAAGGTAGAAGTAGCATTTTCAGAGGGATGCAGATAGAAAGGGCTGTTAAAATCTGGCCGTTTTAAGGAGTTACTAGTATTCACATCAGTTGAAGTATCACCCATGAAGAATGAATTGATATTCAACAAATGGAAAATCTATGAATCAGCAACAAGTAACTAACCAAATCAAACAAAAACAGAGAACAAAAGAGGACAAAAAGAGAACAGAAGAGAAGAACAAACAAGTATGATCAGTGAGTCGATTAATCAATTAGATCGAAAAAGAAATCTAGTATGAGTAACCTTGCTCTGCTACCATTGTCCACTACCAGTCCTGGAGGTAAAGCCATGTATACTTCTTCATTCAAATCACCATGTAGGAAGGCATTATTTACATCCAATTGATACAAGTCCCAGCCCTTCTTAACTGCTAATGAGATTAGTGTTCTGACTGTAGTCATCTTTACCACAGGTGAGAAGGTTTCATTATAGTCTATTCCTGCTTGTTGAGTGTATCCTTTTACCACCAGTCTAGCTTTGAACCTCTCTATGCTCCCATCTACCTTATGTTTAATCTTATACACCCATTTACATCCAATAACATTCTTTTCTTTTGGCAACTTAACTAGCTCCCAAGTATTATTAGTGTGCAGTGCATCAAACTCTTGTTTCATTGCTGCTTGCCAGGCTGGATTCAAGCTTGCCTCTTCATAAGATGTAGGCTCAATATCATGTGAAACATTATGGATCAACTGTTGACTTTCAGAACATAGTGTAGAGAAGCATATATGATCAGGATGATTTGTGAAAGATGTGAGTGAATGTTGAGAATCAGTGACATTATTTATAGGTGAAGAGGAGTGTAGTTTAGGTAATGAATAGCTATAGTCTTTTAAGTAGTTTGGAGGATGACAAGATCTAGTTGTCCTTCTAGGTGTAAGAACAGATACATTTGGTCCAGTAGGTGCTGTGACAGGTATATTTGGCTCAGTAGAAGGTGTTGTAGATTCTGTTACAGGTATATTTTCAGGTATGGAAACTTGATCATAAATGACTTCATCCAGTGTGTGTTGACTCAACATCTCATCATCAATAAAGGTATTTGTTTTACTAGACATACAAGGCAACTTATCAGAGTGATGAACAAGACATTGCAATATGAAGTCAAAATTAGAACCAGCAGGAGTAATGACAAAAGGAAGAATATTTTCATAGAAAGAGACATCTCTAGACACATGAATCCTCTTGGTAGCCAAGTTTAAGACCTTGTACCCTTTTGTGTTAAAGGGATATCCAACAAAAATATGAGGTACAATTCTAGGCTCAAACTTATCCTTATGAGTTTTTAAAGTAGTTGGAAAACAAAGACATCCAAAATTTTTAAGATGTGAGTAGAAAGGTTTCTTCTGATACAACATTTCATATGGAGACTTCCCTTGAAGTAGTTTAGTGGGCAATCTATTAACCAAATAAGTGGCAGTTAATACACACTCTCCCCAATACCTCATAGGTATTTTTGATTGAAATAACAGTGTCCTTGCTGTCTCAAGAAGGTACTTGTGTTTCCTCTCTACTACCCCATTTTGTTGTGGTGTGTAGGGACAAGATTTCTGGTGTATTATGCCTTTTTCTTGGAAGAAACATGTTGCCTCAGTACTAGAAAATTCTAATCCATTATCAGACCTGATAGTTTTCAATCTAGTGTGGAACTGATTTTCTATTAGGGATATGAAGGCTTTTATAGTACAAAGAGCATTGCTTTTACACCTAATAAGTTGTGTCCAAGTAGCTCTACTGTAATCATCTACCATAGTCAAGAAATAGTGATATCCATCATGTGTTGGTACATTATAGGGTCCCCACAAATCAACATGCAGTAACTCAAATATTGAACTGATCATAGTAACACTTTCTGGAAATGGCATTCTAGTTTGTCTAGCCATTGGACAAATTGTACAAGTGAAAGGTTGTTTGTTGGAAAACTTTAGAGGTATGGTAGATATGCTCTTCATTTTCACAAATGGTACATGTCCTAGCCTAGCATGCCATAAGAATTCATTGTCTTGATTGAAAGAAAAATGAGCAGCTGAGTTAGAAATCTTATCAGTGGAACAAACCTTTTCATTGATTGTATGAGAATGTTTTGTATTGGGTAGTAATGGTGCTTTACAGTAGTTCATAAAGGAAACAGATTGAAACTTCTGTTGGGAACCAGTATCATCATTTACAGATGGAATGTGACACTTTGAACAAAAAAGATACAAACCACTCCTTGCTTTACCAAGTGCCAGAGGGCTCTTCAGAGAAGGGCCCTGCAATAAACAAGAACTATTGTTAAAACTGACTATCCCTCTGAGTTGGTTAGCTAAACAATAGACTGATATTAGATTGAACTTGAAGCTAGGTATATACAATACTTTATACAGAGTTAATGTTGAATTCAAACACACATCACCAATTTCAGTCACTTTAACCTTGTATCCATTTGGTAAAGTGATTAAGAAGGGATAAGATAGAGGCTTAAGGTTTATGAGATTGTGTTTTGTGTAGGTCATATGGTGAGATGCTCCTGAGTCAATGATCCAAGATCCAGCAGTTAATCTTTCACATTTACATGACATATCACTTATCTTACTTATAGAAGAATGACAAGCAAGTATACCTGCTAGACTTGCAGCTCCACTTGACACATTGTTTGAATATTCAGACTCATTTCCAAGCAAATTGAGCAATTGCTCATATTGACTCTTTGATAGATTCACTGGCATTTGTTTTCCCTGCTTAAAACTCTCTTCACATTTGTAACTATCACCCTCAGAGGTATGTACATTTGCTGCAGATCCTCTTCCTCTTCCTCTTGGATTTCTTGTGTTGGTTGGATAGCCATGAAGTTTGTAGCATCTATCTTTGACATGTCCAGTTTATTTACAATACTCACAGAACATATTTGATCTGTTACCAGCATTAGAGTTTCCCCTATAAGCATTAGTGTTGTTGAAATTTCCAGCATTGTTATTGTTAAAACTGCCAATGTTGTTGTAACTTCCATTTCCCCTACCTATGCCTCCTTTATAAGAACTAGAATTTGTTGAATTACTTTGAGACAACACAGATGCATTAAGTGAAGTGGACTCCAAAGCCATATGATTTGAAGGCTTCATTTCTCTCTGCCTCTCTTCCTGTGACAAGATAGCAAATGCCTGTGCCATTGTAGGCAAAGTAGACATCATGAGGATGTTCCCTCGCACAACAGTGTACATCTCATTTAGGCCCATCAAGAAGTGTATAAGTCTTCTGTCCTGCTCGGCTTTATACAGTTTTATCTTTCCTCCATAAGTACACACACAACTACATTGTGAATTCACATCAATTGCACGCATTTCCTCCCACAATTTCTTCATCTTTGTATAATAACCTGTGATGTCTAGACTGCCTTGCATCAAATCATTTATCTCCTTCTGCAACTGATATAGCTTACAGCCATTAGTCTGATCATATCTATCCTCCAATTCCTCCCACAATTCCTTAGCATTGTTAACATATTGCAGACTATCTCGTAGCTCTGGGGAGAGGGAGTTTAGAACCCAAGATGTCACTATATCATCACACCTCTCCCACTGCATGAATGATGGATCTGTAAAGCTTGGTTTCACGATTTTACCATTGATGAATCCAGTTTTATTCTTAACGGACAATGCTCTAAGGGTTGCTCTTCTCCATGATCTGTAACTAGTCCCATCAAACACCATAGGAACCAAGGTAGAAGTAGCATTTTCAGAGGGATGCAGATAGAAAGGGCTGTTAAAATCTGGTCGTTTTAAGGAGTTACTAGTATTCACATCAGTTGAAGTATCACCCATGAAGAATGAATTGATATTCAACAAATGGAAAATCTATGAATCAGCAACAAGTAACTAACCAAATCAAACAAAAACAGAGAACAAAAGAGGACAAAAAGAGAACAGAAGAGAAGAACAAACAAGTATGATCAGTGAGTCGATTAATCAATTAGATCGAAAAAGAAATCTAGTATGAGTAACCTTGCTCTGCTACCATGATGAAATCGTCAATACAAGATGATGAAGCCAGCAATTCAAGCTGGAAGCTGGAAGCTAATCTCATTCCTCCATTAATAGAGGTTGAGCTTCTGATAGTGTGAAGGAAGAAGAGGGAATTTTCTGTATTGGAATGCATACGTAAAACAGTACATTAGATGTGTATATATACACATCAATGAGTAGTAACTAATCAAAAACAGAAATACAAAACATGTGATCTATAACTAACTACCCATGTGAAATATAACTAACTATAACTAACTACTTGAAAGTTGAGTAATGACTAACTAACTAACTAACAAATTGATAACTAACTCACACTAAACAAGCTAGTTTTATCAAGTTAGGTTTCAAAACGAGTACTGAAGTCGAGTCGAAGAAAAATCGTTATGATAGACCTGAAATTCATTAAAGAAGATTGTAATAGCTAAAAATTATGCGAGTAAAAACTAATACATCGATTTTACTTGAAATTAAATTTTTCCTAAGTTTA